GATGCTGCCAGACCTGCTGAGCTTCCAGGAACTTCTGTTTTTGTTCCTGAGGTCAATTATTACTTAGGAAAGTACAGCCAAAGTCAAATTCATGCCACCATGAGCACCTCAGCTGTTCCAGGGGAAGTGGGGGCATGGTGGAGGAAGAACAATGGAAGGATTATGGTGATAAGGGAGTCCATAGTCAAGGGATCAGATATACACTTCTGTAGCATTAAACATAACTCCACTTGGTATGTTACCTCTCTGGGACCAGGGCCGATGATGCTATAGAATGGCTACAGATCAGCCAAAAGTCGTGATCCATATGGCTATATCTTGTAGTCATATCTCTATAATGGCTATCAGGTCATACTATTTGTTCAAAAACAAAGTTGCTGGAAAAGCTCAGCAGGTCTGGCAGCATCTGTGAAGAAAAAATCAGAGTTAACATTTCAGGTCCAGTCACTGGACCCAAAACGTTACCTCTGATTTTTTCTTCACAGATGCTGCCAGATCTGCTGAGCTTTTCCAGCAACTTTGTTTTTGTTCCTGATTTACAGCATCTGCAGTTCTTTCAGTTTTTACATGCTATTTGTACTGCAATTCATCTATTTTGTTGCAAATGCCGTATACGTTCAAGTACAGAGTTTTTTTTGTTTAGTACTTTTGTAATCTCTAGCTCTATCTCCTATTGTACTCTCCGGTTCATAAACTCTGACCCTATATCACGTTGTAATTACAGTTTTCCTCATTGCTCTTGCCTTACTTTCTCTATTTATGGAATCTTCCCAAAATTGATCACTCATCCTCATGATTTAGTTTAAAGTGCTCTTTTCCATCTTAGCTCTATGACTTGCTAGATCAGTGAACCCAACATAGTTCACATAATAAACGTCCCAAACTTATGGCTCCCACTTTCTCCTGTACTGGTGCCAGTGCTCACAGAATCGAAATATTTCTCTCCAACACCAATTTTTGAGCCACGCATTTATTTCTTTACCTTTATGTAGCCTACACCTATTTGCTTGTGGCTCATGTAATGATCCAGAAATTCTTACCTATGAGGTTTCTTTTAATTTAACCTCTAGCCACTCTTGCAAGAGGACGGTGTCAAAAGTGGGAGAGCTGTCTCACTCAGTAGTCAAGCAACAGAGTGACATGGTCATGTGTGGTCATCGATGATTGCCTGCTGATATTGTTGTCAGACTATTAATCCAGAGACCCAGGTAATGTTCTGGGGACCCAAGTTTAAATTTAAATTCAATAAAAATTTTGAATTAACAGTTTACCGAAACCATTGTTGATTGTCCGGAAAAAAACAGTTTGGGTCATCAGTATCCTTTAGGGAAGGAAACTGCCATCCTTACCTAGCTCCAGATCCACAGCAATTTGATTGACTCTTAACTGCTCTCTGGCAGTTAGGGATGGGCAATAAAATCCCACATCCTGTGAACGAATAAGGAAAAAAAAATTGTTTATGGAGTTAAACCTTGCACAGGCAATCTCCTAGACAAAACCATCACCACCCTCTCCTGCACCACCAGCACAACAAACGCAGTACAGATGGCAGCACAGTGACATTCAGTTGTGAGGAACTTGCCCTGGAAGTCCTCAACATTGACTCTGAACCCAATGAAGTATCATAGCATCAGCAAACATGAACATGCTAATCTCCTACTGATTACCACATATTGTTCCCTCCATGCTGATAAATCAACACTCCTCCATTTTATCATCAACTTAGAGGATATACTCAGAGGATATAGCAAGGGTGTAGAATGTACTGTGTTGTGAGAACTTCAATGTCCATCACCAAGTGTGGCTTGGCAGTTTTTTAAAATTCGTTTGTGGGATGTGGGCATCGCTGGCTGGCCAGCATTTCTTGCCCATCCCTAGTTGCCCTTGAGAAGGTGGTGGTGAGCTGCCTTCTTGAACTGCTGCAGTCTACCTGCTGTGGGCTGACCCATAATGGCATTAGGGATGGAATTCTCTCACTTTTGGCACCAATCTCTTGCAAGAGCAGCTAGGGGCTAAATTAAAAGGAACCTCATAGGTAAGAATTTCTGGATCAATACATGAGCCAGAAGCAAATAGGTATAGGCTACATTAAGTTAAAGAAATAAATGCATGGTTCAAAAATTGGTGTTGGAGAGAGAGATTTTGACTCTGAGAGCACTGGCACCAGTATGGGAGAAAGTAGGAGCTGTGAGGTTGGGATGTCTATCACATAAACTATGTTGGGTTCACTGATCTAGCAAGTCATATAGCTAAGGTGAAAAAGAGCACTTTAAACTAAATTGTGAGGATGAGGGATCAAGTTTGGGAAAATTCCATAAACAGAGAAGGCAAGGCAAGAGCAATGAGAAAAAGAGTTGGTCAAGTCCTAAAGCTGCTAGACTGTGGTAGATGGTGAGGGAACCAATAAAATGGAAAAACATAGTTGATCTCATCCTTACCAAACTGGCTGCTGCAGATGCATCTGTCTGTGACTGTATCCTTGTGGAGATGAAGTCCCATCTTCATAATGAGTATACTCTCCATTGTGTTGTGTTGCACTGTGACCTAAATTGGATAGACTTTGAAATATCTAGCAACTCGAGACTGGTCATCCATGAGGGACTTTGGGTTATCAGCATCGGCACAACTGTACTCAAATACAGTCTGCAACCTTGTAGGCTGCAGGTCCCTCACCATGACTATCAAGTCAGCGGATCAACCCTTGTTCAATGGAGAGTGCAAGAGGGCATGCCAGGAGCAGTACCAAGCATACCTAAAAGTGATTCTTCAGCCTGGTGAAGCTGCAACCTCGGACAACTTGTGTCAAACAACAAAAACAGCAAGTGATAGATATAGCCAAGCAACACTACAACTAACCATCTGATCTAAGCGCTGCAGTGCTGCCACATCTAGTCATCATAGACAATTAAACAAGTCAATGGAGGAGGATGCTCCACAGATATCCCATCCTTTTCCTAGATGCTATTAGCTGTGAAGAAGGGACATTGGACTCAAAATGTTAACTCTACTTTCTCTCCACAGATGCTGTCAGACCTGCTGAGTTTCTTCAGCAACTTCTGTTTTTGTTTCAGACTGCAGTGTTCTGACGGAGGGATAACATTTGCATTTAATTCAGATTTAAAATAATGCAGGAGGCCAAGAATATTAGCAGAGTGCCCATCACACTTGCATCTGAAGCAGCTTTAACCAAATATGATCAATGTCTAAGAATCTACTTCAGGAGTCCTTTGTGGTGCAGCAATAATATCTCTACCCCCTAACCGGGAAGCCTGAGTTCAAATCTCATCTGCTCCAGAGGTGTGTAAGAACATCTCTGAACAGGTTGATTAGAACATGTTTGATAGAAAGAACTGCCGATGCTGGAGTCTAAGATAACACAGTGTGGAGCTGGAGGAACACAGCAAGCCAATAAGTATACTCTCCAGTGTGTCAGCTTTCCTGCTCCGCTGTGCTCTTCCAGCCCCACACTGTGTTATCTCTGAAAGAATCTGCTTCAGAAAACTGTTGAGCCTGTATCTCCATCTCCTACAGATGGCGGTAGACCGGGCAGTCTCGACAGATAGGTCTTCTCTTGTTCTTCGTCTTTATGCAATAGTCGTCATACTATGCGACCAAATCACTCTGGCACTGAACTTCGGAAGCTGGCTGCAAATTCATCAGCAAGTTACGCGGAGCAGATTTTCTCACATTAATTGTAGTTAGCAACAACCAATAATAGAATGGGTAACCCCTGGTGTTTGAACAATTGAGACCGTTCAGTTCTGAGCTGTAAAACTACCAGCCGTTGCGCCGCCGACACAAGCGCAGTAGCGCGCGGTGGTTGGTTTGAAAGGGGCACGTGCTGACAGTGGCGGTTGGCCCTTTAAAAGTTTACGGTCTGAGTGTGTTTCAGCTGCTTGGAGAATGCCCAAAGTTAAAATCGGGAAGAAACATGGAAGGTGCAGAGAAACTCCAGGGCAAAGTCAAGGTGAGACCTGACTCTCTCACTCAAGTTAAGGTTAAATCCTGCTAACGGGCCGGCTCAAGCGGCCGAACCACAGCGGGGAAGTGTTAACACCACAGAATTGTTACAGCACGGACGGAGGTTATTAGACCCGGCGGGCTCTGAAACAGCGAGTTAGCTCGTCCCAGTATCTCTTTAGCCTTAACTTTTATCTTGCTGTCCCAACTAATTGTTGAAATCTTTTTTTTTCAATGTTTCCATTGAATCTGTTTCTGCCACGCTCCCAGGCAGTGAAATTTCAGATCCGAATCACTCGTTGTATTTACTTATGTCCCTAATGCTGCTTTAGCCGATCGCCTTCAACCTGCTTTTGTTATCGATCTATTTGCCTGCAAGTGGAACACTTTCTCTGTTGATTTGAGTACCTTTCAAATGTTTCAACCTTTCTTTGACAAAACATTCGGAATTTCTCCATTTTGTCCACATAATGGAACCTGGAGCCAGTCTTATGTATCTTTTCTGCACCCTCTCTAATGTATTTACATTCTTCCTAGAGTGGAGCTCAGAACTAGATGCGGTACTCCAGCTGAGGGCAAACTATTGCTTTGTAAAGATTTGGCATATTTTTTTAATATTCTTTCCCTGTACTTACATTCTCTGACCTTACTTATAAAGTCCAGTATCCTGTACGTTTTTTTAACTTCTAGTTTTATTGAAAATTTATACTCCAAAGAACACACAGACTACAGCTTAGAACTGGATAACTTGGCCCTTCCTCTTCTTGTCTCTGCCTAGCTCAGAGTGCTTGCTTCTCTTGATGGCCAATATTCTCTTCATTTGACAGGCTCCACAAATTCCAGTCTCAGCAGAATGTCCTTTGTTTGATTTTGGCCTTATTTCAAAATATAGGCTTTGTCTGTCCATCACAATCACTCAGCTTCCTGTCATAACGCCTCTTACCCTGTACGTACAAAGAATCTTCTCCTTTCATGTATTGGGTAACCTTATGTGGCTGGTGCCTACAGTATTTCTTGCAGTACATCCTCCAAGTCTTTGGTACGTCGACCATCTTGTCATCTGAGATGCTATGTTTAATGGTGTATGGAGATGTGCCCACAGGTCCCTGTACTCATGCAACCTATTTAAAGTTTGACCCTTTATTTTCTATTGTTGCCCCTCATTCTTCATATCAAAATAAAGCACTTCTCTCATGAAAAACCGAAAGAACTGCAGATGTTGTAAATCAGGAACAAAAAAAAAAGTTGCTGGAAGCTCAGCAGGTCTGGCAGCATCTGTGGAGAAAAAAAATCAGAGTTGACATTTCGGGTCCAGCGTTCTGATGAAGGATCACTGGACTCGAAACATTAACTCTGATTTTCTTTCTTCACAGATGCTGCCAGACCTGCTGAGCTTCCAGCAAGTTTTGTTTTTGTTCCTAAAGAACTTCTCTACAATGAATGTCATCTGTCACACATCTGCCTATTACACCAGCCAGATTTAAAGCTGTATTTTTGTAGAACAGGCTTGAGAACTTTAAAAATGTGCAGCTGCTGGATGTTCAAGCTGTATCCTGGTTTCTGACCAATCCCATTTTTGTTTTGCTCGCAAAGGAATTGTCCAATTCATATTACCCACTTTGTTATCAAAAATCCAGCCAAAAATCTTGAAGTCTATGACTCTTGGAGTTTTTCAAGTTTTGTGTTGCCTGCAACTTTTTTAGTTGTGTGCAGAACGACCGAGTGTAGTTCATCAATATACAGCAAGAAAAGTAGCAGTCCTTGTGTTGAACCCAGGAAACACCACTGTATACTTTCCTCCAGAACAAAAAAAACTCTTCTTTGCTACAGTCATTCCTGTTATTCATCCAACTATGTATCCGTGCTGCCTTTAATTAGTTTATGCCATAAGCTTCCATTTTGCTGATGAGCCTATTTATCAAATGTCTTTTTGAAAACCATTTATGTTGCAGTAACTGCATTACTTTCTTCTATCTTTGCATTTTCTTAAAAAAAATCTCATTTTAGTTAGCTAAACACAATTTGCCCAAAACAGACCTATGGTGACTTTCCTTAAATCATATTTGGCCATGTCACTTAATTTTGTTATGAGTTAGCGTTTCAGAAAACTGCCTCATCACCACAGAAGTAAAACTGACTGATCTGTAGTTGCTGGCTTTATGCTTGCATCCTTTTTTGAACAAGAGTGGAAGGGACATTTAAAAATCACCAGTACTGTTGTCACAAGCCCAATATCTAAGCCTCTTCAATTTCCTCTCTTGCGTTTCTGTGTGCCTTCAGATAAGTGTGGTCCAAGCCAGGCAACTTGTTAACTTTAAAGTACAGCTGTGTTTTTTAATATCTTCTCTCTATCAATTTTGATCATTTAGTGCTGTGACTGTTTCCTATTTTGCTATGATTTCAGTAGCATCTTTAGCCTTTATAAAGGCATGCAAAGTACTCAGTACCACTGCCTTCAAATTCGTTTTCTTATTTTGAGTACTTGAAAGTAAGAAAATGAGGTCCAAAGCTTGAACCTAGGAAACTGACAACACTGCCACTGGTGCTGAAGCAGTTATAATTGGAAATTCAGAAGAAGCCAGAATTAGAGAAGCACAAGTATTTCAGAGGGCTATGGGGCAGGAGGAGATTAACAAGAGGTTGCACTGCCCTAGACATGTGAGATTTATAGAAAGACTTGAAAGATGTACATCTAACTTGATTCAGAAAATGTCAACGTCTTTGAATTTGAAGTGTAAGAAAACAGAGAACAATGCTTGTTTTATCTCTTGCTTTGTCTTGTGTCTCAGCTGCTTAAAGATGCATTTTAATAATGTCATGTAGGTTTGCCAGCAAAGTTGAGGCCTGTGGAATTAAATGTCAGCATCAATATAGAGTTGGTTCTTGGAATGGTGGATTAAATGCAATGATATTGTCCAGGTGTCAGTACCAGGGCTACAACAAAAGCAACATACTGTAAATGCTAGAAATCTGAAATCAGCACCACTGTCACAATTCTCGGTACATTAATGACCCAGAAATAATTGTACAGAGGACACTTTCAAAATTTGCAGATTTTTTTTATTGATAGATTTCGTACAGTGTGCTAACAGGCTATTTAGCCCAACAAGTGCACACGGACTCTCTGAAGAGCATCCTACCTGAACCCATCCCCCTACCCTGTCCCTGTAACAGTGCATTTCCCATGGCTAATGCACGTAACTTGCACGCCCCTGAACGCAATGGGCCATTTAGCATGGTCAATCCACCTAACCTGCATATCTTTGGACTATGGGAGGAAACCAGAGCACCCGGACAGAATGTGCAAACTCCACGCAGACAGTCGCCTGAGGCTACAATTGAACCCAGGTCCCTGGCTCTGAGGTAGCAGTGCTAACCACTGAGCCACCGTGAAGGAAGGATAGTGATAAACTTTAAAAAGATATAGGCTAGAGGAGTGGGTCTGCATGTATCAGATGTAATTTAATGCAGAGAAATGTAAAATGATACAAGGAAAGGCAATGTAAAGGATGCTGGAATTTGTTATGTGACTCATTGAATTTAAAAGCAAGGACTTTGTTACAAACCTTTTATGAATTACTGGTTCAGACTTAACTGGGGTATTGTATCCACATGCGGGCACTGCACCTCATGAAGGATCTGAAGGCGTTATGAAGAATGCAGAAAATATTTAAGGTTCCGGGTTTGACGGACTTCAATGATGAGGATAGTTTGAAGAAACTGGAGTTGTTCTCCTTAGAAGAAAGGTTGAAGACGTGTCACACTCAAAATATCCAAAATTGTGAGGAATCTAGAGAGAACAGATGAAGAGAACCTTCCCTTTGGTGGAAGGATCAAAAACCAGATTTGAGATTAATGGTAAAAAAAACATGAGAAACAATATTTTATCTTTAAAATGTTTGGGATCTGCAATGCATCGCTCAGAAGTGTAGTAGAGGCAGATTCCAATGTGGCTTTCAAAGGGGAAGTAGGTACACACCTAAACGTAGTACAGCAAATTTTGTTTTAACCAGCACCTAACAAATTGGCATTGTCAATAAACCAACCAAAACTAAAACCTAAAATACTGGAAGTTTACTGTATTATTGCAATGTCCAAATAGTCGATTAAAGGTGCTCTCTGCTAATAGGTAATATTCAAATGACATATGCTGTAAATAAGATGTAACAGTATGTGTGTACCCCCGCATTACATTTCTATTTGTGAAAACACACTATGATTACGTGGACCTCTAAATCAGCCAGAATACTTGATCAACTGGTACATTCCTAATTCCATAGGTGCCAGCCAATAAAAAGTTTGCAGTCACGCACGTTTTTGGGGAGAGATTTGAGTTCTTGTGGTACATTGATAATGTCTCTACCGAGGCCCAGATTCAAGTCCCACCTGCTCCACTGGTGTTAAATAACATCTTTTGAACCGGCTGATTCAAAAAAATTATTGAGTAAAGACTGGAGGTGATCTTGTGGCATATTGCTAATGACCCTCCTTCTCGGCCAGAAGGCCTGTGTTCAAGTCCCAACTGCACCAGAGGTGCGCAATAACATCTCCAAAGAAGTTGATTAGAAATTATATTGGGATTGATTGAATTGTTCTTCCATATGGTTGGTGACAAATGAATCCTCCTGTGCTATAACCAATCTGATTTTTTTTCAGTGCTGAAAAGAGTACCAGTTATTTGTCAGTGCCTTATGAATTATGTCTAGGAGAGAAACTAAAGTAACAGTGCCTTGCTGATTTTGCAATGGATTTGATATTGACTTGCCATTTCCCAACTAAAATCTGATTATAAATGAGAAGGATCAAGTTGAAAATACTTCACGACAGACATTTGAAGTGTCAATCTGTAGCTTTACCTTACCCTCCCATGTGCAAGAAACATGAAATTTAAAATATTTTAACTTCTCTGTGTTGTATGTTCAATTTTAGCACTGTTTTATTTTGATCTAGGTATCGTGTTCAACACTGGAATTGGTCAGCACATTCTGAAGAATCCTTTAATTGTGAATAGCATCATTGAAAAGGTACCATAGAATGCAACTAGCCCTAACATGCAAAATTTGGCTATAATTTCTGTAATTTTGCTCTATGTCTAGCTGTATTGGATGGTCCTTAACAATCACAAAGGGGAAAGGATGCTACAAATTGGGTGTATTCAAATTTTGAATATGAAAATCCAATTCAGCTGTGACAAGGATTTTTCCAGTATCTTGTCTTTCTCATTGGTAGTACGCATTTGGTGTATTTACTATGCAATGTATTGCTGTGTAGGTTTTGTTTTTCTTCCAATCTGAAGTCCATATCTGAATAACATATTGCTAGTGCTAAACGTTCCTGGATCAGCTATAAACTTATGAAGATATAGCAAATGTTCCCTGAACATCAGAAGTGCACTACCATGCAATAACGTTTTTTTTTTCACTTCTCATTCCAGCTATTCTTACAACATCTGTGACTGAGAGACTAGCAACTTTTAGGCAATTCTCTACTAACTTAACAGCATGCAGACTTTCCAAATTCCTGATATTTGATAATTTTTATGGTAATATTTTCCTTTCTAAAGTTGTCAATTAAAGTATTCATTTGGTCAATCCTGGGAAGCTGGAATTCTCTAGAATTTACTGACAATCTCTGATATTTTACAATTGAATATGAAAGCACAAAGTTGCACAACGTATATCAGTTTTATACTCAAACATAGAAATAAGGAATGGGTACATTTTTAAATGGGTAATTGATCTTTTTTTTTCCCCTCAAGGCTGCTATTAGACCTACAGATGTCATATTGGAAGTTGGACCTGGAACTGGTAATATGACTGTGAAACTTCTGGAAAAGGCTAAAAAGGTAGCCTCTTTAAATTACAAATGATCTTGCAAGCCAACTAACAAATATTCACATTTTTGTAGATATTTTAAAACCAGACTTCTGATGAAACAATATTTGAGTCAAGATGAGTAAAAGTTTTTATTATAGAGGAATTATTGGGCTATTCAGAAACCTCAAACATCAAGAAGGACATCTTTAAAGTTTATCCAACAATTAAGCATTTTTCTTTAGTCAACCTGTCCCGATACGTTGTGACACATATCTGGGACTGAATCCAGACCTTCTGATCCAGAGGTGGGGAAACTAACACAGCACAACTAGAACCCTATAATTAGGCATCACTCATTTTTAATCAATCTGTTCAGAGATGTTATGATACACAACCAGGACTAATGGGACTTGAGCCTACGCCTTCTGGCTCAGAAGTAGGGCCATTATCACAAGGACCTGTACAATTAGGCTTTTTTTTGTTAAAAATCTTTTCTCCGTTTTCTCATCAACCAATTCAGAGACGTTATGACACAGGTGGGACTTGAACGTGGGTCTTCCGGTTCAGAGGTAGGGACACTACCGCTGCACCACATGAGGGCCCTCACAGTTATGTATTACTATCTGCCTCTTTATTGATTTCATTAGGTGAAGCACTTAGCACCGTTGTATGTGATATTTATACATGTGGTCTAAAATTGAAACACCGTCTCAACTCCTCTGACCTACTTCTCTTGAGTCAAATGGCTATTGCACTGAAAGGCCCCACTTTCCATTTTACACTGCTTCCTGCAATGTTCTGTCTTTAGAGGTGGGAACACTTCAAGTGCTGATGTCCAAAGGAGTTTTTTTTTAAACTTGGCTGCTTTTCAGTTGCATGTTTTTTGTTAGTTTTTCTGACCTTTGAAGAATCAGCTTGCCAGTCAACAAGCATCCTTTTCTCCTTTAGTGTAAATTGTTGTGATTGCTTGAAATTTGCCATTCTTGCATTTGTCCTGAAGAGTGCAAGATGAAAACCTTTTGGTCTCTCTTGTCAGCAAGATCTAAATTCTATACTACCAAGAGATAATTGAACTTCAGTGTTCAGTCTTTGTGCTGCTAATATTCTGAGGCTGGAAAGGGTAGATGTTGAGAAGATATTTCCACTAGTGGAGGGATCTCAAACTAGTTGATATCCTTACAGAATAAGGAACTGCTCATTTAAAACTGAGATGTGAGAATTTTTTTTCCCAGAAGGCAATGAATACCTGGAATTCTGTACTTCGAAGTTGTGGGACTAGATCACTGAAACGATTAATGGGGAGATGGTGGCATAATGGTCTTGCCAGTGAACTAGTAATCCAGAGACGCAGGCTAATTCTATGGTATGTAGGTTTGAATCCCACCATGGCAAATAATGAAATTTGATGTACATTACCGTGATAGTTGTAAAGACTCAACTCGTTCACTAATTTCCGTTAGGTGAGGAAATGTGCCATCCTTGCTTAAGCCTGGCCTATGTGTGACTCCAGCCCCACAACAATATTGTTATTGTTGATTCTTAATTGCCCTCTGAAATTGTCCTGGCAGGACAGTCAATTAAAATGGCAATTAGGAATGGGCAACAAAGGCTAGTTGACGCCCATATCGTGACAACTTGAAGGGCCAAATTGCCTACACTCCTGATCCAGTTCTCATGTCCTCCCACACAAATTTTATTATTGTATTACATGCTTGTTAAAATTCTCTAGGTAATCAGGAGTAATATTTCGTAGTTTTCAGATTACCAAAAACAATAATGTATGATTGGTTTCTATATTCATAACAGGTAATTGCTTGTGAACTTGATACCAGACTCGTTGCTGAATTGCAGAAAAGAGTTCAGGGAACGTAAGTAACATTTAACTGTAAGCTTGAAGATTTTCTCCAGTAGACCAGACCAACTGATTTAAAACAAATGGTCTGAAAGTTTATTTTGATTACTTTGCGTTGGAAAACTTTGTTTTTGTTTTTTCTATACATTTTCTTCAGACCTACAGCAAGTAAACTTCAAATAATGGTTGGAGATGTGCTGAAGACAGACTTGCCATTCTTTGATGCATGCGTAGCAAACTTACCATATCAGGTAACTTTATAATCACTTTTTAACTTCCTGTATGTAGGGTGATTGTGTTGAAGTTCAGGGAGACTGGGAGACATCTCATTGCGGTTAGGGTAAGGGTGAAGCGAGTCTATAATGCTAAAGTAATGCTATAATGCTAAACTTTAGGAGGTTTCTTCCTAGAGCTATGTGCAAAAAGCTATCAGTTTGCAATTTGGGTAGCATGGGAATTCTAAATTCATTGTAAAGTTGGGAAATGGTTTATAGTTTTGATTCTCTTTACTCTTCCTGCCACTCCACCCCGGCCACCTTTTAGCACAGAGTTTAAGTAGTAGTCTTGATCTATTAAATCTGGAAGTCTAGACAATGAGTTAGGGAGAAAAAGATAGTCACCGAGATGTGCAGCATGGAAATAGACCCTTCAATGCAACTAGTCCATTACCAACCAGATACCCTAAATAAATCTAGGCCCATTAGCCAACGTTTGGCCCAGATCCCTCTTAACCCCTTCCTATTCATATACCCATCCAGATGCCTTTTAAATGTTGTAATTGTACCAGTCTCCACCACTTCCTCTGGCAGCTCATTCCATACACACACCACCCTCTGCATGAAAAAGCTGCCCCTTACGTCCCTTTCAAATCTTTTCCCTCTCACCTTAAACCTATGCCCTCTAATTTTGGACTCCCCCACTCCGGGGAACAATTCTTTGTCTATTTCCCCTATCCATGCTCCTCATAGTTTTATAAACCTCTATAAGGTCACCCCTCAGCTCCAATGTTCCAGGGAAAATAGCCCCAGCCTATTTAGCCTCTCCCTACAGGTCAAACACTCCAAGTCTAGTAACATCCTTGTAAATCTTTTGTGAACCCTTGCAAGTTTCACAACATCCTTCCTATTAGCAGGGAGACCAGAACAGCGCACACTATTCCAAAAGTGGCCAAACCAATGTCCTGTACAGCTGCAACATGACCTCTCAACTCTTATACTCAATGTACTGACCAATAAAGGCAAGCATACCAAACGCCACCTTCACTATCCTATCTACCTACAACTCCACTTTCAAGGAACTGTGAACGTACACTCCAAGGTATCTTTGTTCGGCAGCACTCCCCAGGACCTTACCATTAAGTGTATAAGTCCTGCCTTGATTTGCCTTTCCAAAATGCAGCAGCTCACATTTATCTAAATTAAACTCCACTCCTCGGCCCATTGGCCCATCTGTTCAAGATCCAGTTGTACTCTGAGGTAATGTTCTTCCCTGTCCCTTACACCACCTTTCCAAATACATGTAAATCCTGTCCCTCAGGATTCCCTCCAACAACGTGCCCACCACTGACTTTAAGCTCACTGGCCTATAGTTCCCTGCCTTTTCCTTACCACCTTTCTTAAATAGTGACACCACATTAGCCAACCTCGAGTCTTCTGGCATCTCACCTGTGGCTATCGATGATACAAATATCTCAGCAAGGATCCCAGCAATCCCTTCCCTAGCTTCCCACAGAGTTTTAGAGTACACCTGATCAGGTCCCGGGGATTTATTCACCTTTATGCGTTTTAAGCTGTCTAGCACCTTCTGTAATGTGGACATTTTTCAAGATGTCACTATTTATTACCCCACATTCTATATTTTCCATTTCCTTCTCTGCAGTGAACACTGATGCAAAATACCCGGTTTAGTATGTCCCCATCTCCTGCGGCCTTGCTGATCTTTAAGGGGCCCTATTCTCTCCTTATTTAACCGTTTGTCCCTAATGTATTTATAAAATCCCCTTGATTCTCCTTAACCCTATTGCCAAAGCTATCTCGTGTTCCCTTTTTGCCCTCCTGATTTCTCTCAAGTATACTCCTACTGCCTTCATACTCTTCTAAGGATTTAGTCAATTTCTGATGCCTATACCTGACATGTGCTTCCTTCTTTCTCTTGACCAAAACCTCAATTACTCCAGTCAGCCAGCATTGCCTACACCTCCCAGCCTTGCCCTTCCCCCATCAGGAATGTACTGTCTCTGGACTCTCGTTATTTCATTTTTGAAGGCTTCCCATTTTCCAGCCATCCCTTTACCTGCCAACATCTGCCCCCAATCAACTTTTGAGAGTTCTTGCCTAATATTGTCAAAATTGGCCTTCCTCCAATTTAGAACTTTAACTTTTAGATCCAATTTATCCTTTTCCATGACTATTTTAAAACTAATAGGTCGCTGGCCCCAAAGTGCTCCCCTGCTGACACCTGGGTTACCTGCCCTGCCTTATTTCCCAACAGGAAGTCAAATTTTGCTCCTTCTCTAGTTGGTGCATTCACATACTGAATCAGAAAATTTTCTTGCGCACATTTCACGAGCTCCTCTCCATCCAAGCCCTTAACACTGTGGCAGTCCCAACCTATGATTGGAAAGTTAAAATCCTGTACTGTAACCACCCTATTATTCTTACAGATCTCCTTACACATTTGTTTCTCAATTTCCCACTGACTGGTGTGTGTGTGTGTGTGTGTGTGTGTGTGTGTGTGTGTGTGTGTTGGTGGGGGGAGCGGGGGAGTCTATAGTAACATCCCAATAAGGTGACCATGTCTTTTTTTATTTCTCAGTTGCACCCAAATTACTTCCCTGGACGCATTCCCGGGAATATCTTCCCTTAGTACAACTGTAATGTTATCCCTAATCAAAAACACCACTCCCCCCTCCTCTCTTCCCCCCCCTTTCTATTCTTCATTTACCCTGGAACATTGAGCTGCCAGTCCTGTCCATCCGTGAGCCAGGTTTCTGTAAATATTCATTTAACAAAAACCCAAACTTCTTAAAGATAAACACCAGACCTAAATTGTTAACTCTTTTTGCTCTCCAAAGGTGCTGCCAAACCTGCTGAGTTTATTCAAAAAAGTTCTGGTTTCTTTCCTGATAAATATTCATTTGTTAATTCCACAAATATTTCACTTTGCCTGACTTTCTAAGGTATTAGTCTTAATGTTAACTCCTGCAGGATGTCTTTTCTTTTCAGTTGCAACAATTCTCAGCAAAAAAACTATCTTGGTATTGGATTCTTGAATGAAACCCAAGTTCAAATCTTCAACTTAACATTCTTCTTTGGGATAAGGATCCTGATCATGAGGAAATTACTCTAGAAAAATATGTATCAATTTCTTGAGAAACAAAATGAAGAACTAGAAATTGGCCAATGTAATAGCCAATTTCAAAAAGGGGGACAGCTTTACCCTGAGTAATTAGAGGCCACTAAATTTACAATCCATGCGGGAAAAATTTGTAACCTATAAATTTAAATATGAACTTCCGGTTAAAAAGAAGATAATCACAAATAGCCAACATGTTGTCAGGAGGGTTTTTATTTGAGATTACAAGAAACGTGATGGATGGCAGAACTGCAGTGGATGTATATCTTTCAAAAAGTTCTGTGCCAAGGTATCTCTCAATTTTTCATTAGAAAATATTAATATAAATGGAACTGGGGAAAGTAATAAATTGATTAAAGGTCAGTTAGAGGGGAGGACACCATTTGCTAGAGACCAAGAGCAGTTCAAAGCTGTTGGAAATGGATAGTCATGTTCCATTGGATTCTGTTCTGGAATTGCATCTGTTCACTTCATTTACTTAATTTCATTATAGGAAGCGCATGCTTAATGTCACCCCTTTATATCATGGTTTCGCTCTAACGTTAAGTTGTTAGAATGGAGATCTCGGTGAGTGTTGCAAGATTTGTTTTAACATTGTCTACTGCAGTACCTTACCTTACCCAACTGATAGGGCCCCTTTGGTGCAACCATTGTTAGATGTGAAACTGCTCCCAGCCCTTCAACTTGATGCCTTTTCCAATTGATACCTCTGTCCAAGGTTTTCATAAAGGAACAGTCTCTCCCCAGACTCCAGATTGCCCACTGGAGCTGCCACAAAACAGCAGGCCCTGAGATTCTACCACCGTTCCTGGGACCCATTTGGATATGACCAAGCCATCCCACGGGATGCCAGCAATGACTGTGGCTCAGTAGTAGACCCCTTCCTTTGTGCGGCAGCAGCTAGGCCCCACAGCAAACTGCAGCTCATAGCCAGCTGAACATGGCAGGATAGCCACCAAACCACACTTTTCATCCTCAGCAGCTTTCCCACATTTCTCTACTAGCTGCAGGCCACGATCTACCACAGCAACCCTATTACCCTAGCCTCCACCTGAGGGAAAGCCAGCAAGCCCAATCATGACTGGCACTATGTATGTCAGGCAGAGAGGAATAAAGGCCAGAGAAACACAAGCCCACCAGGTAGACTACAGAGGCAATGGCAGCCAGCAAGAAGGAGTGGTCAAGCCCCTTTAAAAAAAGAATTCTGCAAGGTAGTATCATGATGTGGCAAAAGGAGAAACAAGTGGCAGGCAGCACTAGAAATGCAGCCAAAAGGAGCACCTGGAGACAGTCAGCAACGTCTAGAGAGGCAGGCAAAAAGAACACCCAAAGATTGACAGCATCATCTGCAAAATGTAATGAAAACCAAGAGTAAATATAATTGAATAAAATAATTAAGTAGCTAATTAGAACACAGTGAGTGATAGGACAGGTTATGTGTCACAGATGCAGCACGTGGGAGGTCCTGAATGCCAGTTTTATACAGGGCAACCGCATCTATGGTAAGTGTTTGAAGTTCAAGCATTTTTTCCTCCGAGTTTGGGCTGGAGTCTGAACTACAGGCATTGCTGGGCATCAGGGAGCTGAAAAGTTACCTGGATTCCTTGTACTGGGAGATAGTCACATCTCCAGTCCTCAAACTCTGATCAAATCAGAAGTTCCTTTCTTAAGAGGTGTGATCAGGAGTTCAAGAGCCTCAGCCTTTGCAATTGTTCAATAGGTTTCAGGTTTTTTTTCAGCTTCTTTGCATTAGACTAGAGCCTGTAGGATGCTTGAACTCACAACCATAGCAAAATGGTACAGGAAGCCACTCTAGTGGAGGGGAGCAAAAGGGCATGGTAGTGGTAGCCACAGTCAGGATATAAGAATTGACACCACTGTCTGCAGTGAAAAGTGACAGATTAGGTGGCCATATTGCCTCCTTGTTGCAGGGTTTGGGATATCTGTTCAGGGCTATAGAGAAAATTGCATTGGAAGGGAAAGGATAAAGTAGTCTTGCAGGTACCAATGACATAGGCGGCATAAAAGAGATTCTGCATAGTCAGTATGCACTAGGCAGCAGCCACTAAGAAGCAGAACTTCACAGGTCATGATCTTTGTCTTATTACTTCAGCCATGTTCAAATTGGCATAGGGCAAATCAGATGAAAAAGGTGAATGGGTGGTTCAAAGATTTGTGTGGTAGAAATGGGTTCCAGTTTATGGACACTGGCATCAGTACTGGGAGAAATGAGATGTGCATTGTTGGAATGGTCTCCACGGTTGACTGATCTTTTCTGAGTTTTTACTCCTTCAAGATTTGTATTTTCGTTGTTATAGATAATGGAAAATCTTCAAAGAACTATGTATAGAGACACGTTTTAATGCGTTTTCAAATCCATCTAGACTAATTGCGTCTGATGCCTTCATAATTTCCCTTATAAATTTAACGCTGCTTCATAATGAAGTACCTCACTTCTAAACATAATGTAGAATTCTATCATTGTGGTCACTGATCCCTAATTATGACAATTTTATTAATTAGACTTTTTGTCAATTCCTAACACTAGATCTAAAATAACATGCCCTGTAGTTGGCTCCTCAACATACTGCTCTAAAAGAACCATCCATAGGTAACTCCAAACAGTCGTCCTCTACAGCTTAATACTCAATTGCTTCTGCATATGCAAATTGAAATCGCTAATGATAACTTTGTTACCCGTGCCAAATACTTTTCTCGATCTCCAGACATGCCACAAGCTACCATACTAGTTGGTAGCTGACAAATAACTGCACCCAATGTCTGCTGTCCCTTGCTGTTTCTTTCTTTAACCCATTGTTCCACCAGTCTGAGGTCCTCCATTGCTAATATATTGATTCTATCCCTTTGTAGCAGCACAATCCCAGCTCCTTTCTCTCTGTCTTTTTTTTTGACCTTCCTAAGTGTTGAATATCCTTGAATATTTCTGTTTTAGTAATGGCAGAGATCATTCTCATGTATCTCTTTAGATCACCTACCTTGTCAGAATGTTGTATGCGTTCAGGTTGTGTTAACGTCGTCATTTTGAAATCATTCTGCTTTCAAAGCATACTCCATAATTGGCTTTGTTTCTCCTTGTTTCTTATTGTTTTCAGAATACTTCCTTAGGACAGCATGTTGTGGAGACTGTACTAGACATGAATTTGGGGGTTGTTTAGCTGGTTTGCATTGCAGTGTTACTAACAGTGTGGGTTCAGTTCCTGCGCTAGCTTAAGTTGCCATGAAAGACTCTCCTTCTCAACCCCTCCACTAGCTTGTTGCCTGGTAGATCATACACTCGGCATTTCTGACTGAACATTGCTGCAGATGTTTCAGCCTTTTGCTCTGATGTGTTGGGCTCCTCTATCGTTGAGCATGGGGATATTTGTGGAGCCTTTTCTTCCAGTGAATTGTTCACCACCATTCGCCATTGGATGTGACAGGACTGTAGAGCTTAGATCTAATCCATTAGTTGTGTGATCACTTAGCTCTGTCTGTCACTTGTTTATGCTTTTTGACATGAAAGAAGTCTTGTTTGGCGTTTCACCAGATTGACACCTCTCTGTTTAGGTATGCTTGGTGCTGCTCCTAGAATGCCCTCCAGCACACTTCACTGAAACAGGGTTGACCCTGGCTTTGTAATAATGGTTGAGTGAGGGATATTCCAGGCCAGGGGTGCTAATTGTGTTGTAGTACGTTCTGATGCTTCTGTTGGCCCACAGTGCTTCATGATGCCCACTCTTGATTTGTTCAATCTATTCGAACTGTCCTACTTAGCACGGTGATAGTGCCACACAACACGATGGAGGTTATTCCCTCTGTGAGGCAGGACTTTGCCTTCACCAGGGCTGTGCATTGGCAATCTTACTGCTACTGTCATGGACAGATGCATTTGCAGCCGGCAGATTGGTATGGTTGACGTCAAATATCTTGAGAGTCAACCACGTTGGCCTACGGCCATTCTAGTCTGAAAATGCCCGATTCCGTCTAATCTCGGAAGCTAAGCAGACTCAGGCTTGGATAGGAGACCACCTGGGAATACCAGGTGCAGTAGACTCGGGGGCGGCACGGTGGCTCAGTGGTTAGCACTGCTGCCTCACAGCGCTAGGGACCGGTGTTCAGTGCCACCCTTGGGCAACTGTCTGCACATTCTCCTCATGTCTGCGTGGGTTTCCTCCGGGTGCTCCAGTTTCCTCCCACAGTCCAAAGATGTGCAGGCTACGTGAAATGGCCACGATAAGGTGCCCATAGTGTTCAGGGATGTTTAGATTAGATGGGTTTATAGGGGGATGGGTCTGGGTCTGGGTGGGATGCTCTGTGGGTCAGTGTGGACTTGTTGGGCTGAAGGGCCTGTTTCCACATTGTAGGGATTCTATGATGATTCTATGATTTGTGTTACTGTGGCTGTGGAGTCACATGTAGACCAGACCAGGTGAGGATGACGTTGAAAGACATTAGCGAACTGGATGGATTCTTCCAACAATTGGTAGATTCTTAATTCCAGATATTTTAACTGAATTCAAATTCTACCTTCTGCCGAATATTAGCAGAGTTCCTACATTAATAGTCTAGTGATTAATATTACTAGGCTATCCCTTCACCATACTGTTTTGTAATTATGAGCATTGTTAGCACCTTTGATAGCTTTTAGCTAAACTTTCTACAGAGGACAGAATGCCATCTTTAGGTGAAACCTTTGCACAAAGCTGAAAACAGCTTGCAAATTCTAAAATGAGGTAACAGAACCCCACATGTTCCAGGAGAGGTACTTGTGTAGACTTGAAACTATACCAAGATGAATGTTTTTCAGTGAAATAGGGTTTTTGTTTTCAGATGGACTGACTTAATATACTGTTACTTGCAGGGGAATTTTTATCTATGCTATTGTATGTGGAAAGATGTAATTTGAATTATCGTAATGTTATTGCAGATCTCATCTCCATTTGTTTTTAAACTACTGTTGCACAGACCATTCTTCAGGTAAGCATGCCTGAAAGTTGAACCATCAACTATTTTGCAAAATGAAAACTCTATCTATTTCTCTGTAACTATGTAGTTGAAATATATATTGTATTTGTAAATAACGGGAAATATGAAGGAAAGTTAGGGAAAACGTTTTCTGTCGAAGGATAATGGGCATGGAATAAGTTATGAAGAGAAGCTACTAAGGCAGGCAGTATAAAGAGAGAAATAAATTTCTGGAGAAATGGGAAGTTGAGAAGCTTAGTGTATGAACTTAATGCTTTTCTCCCAACCTATCCTAAGCTAAGGATTTCTGTTGTCAGCTGTTCTAATTAAGTTTCGACATGCATTGCTGTTATACATCCTTCATCAGTCCAGTGGATGAGTTTGATACGTAACATCATTGTTAGTACCCAAGATCTGTGAGGGTGGGAGGGAGCTAGCATATGTTCCATTGCAAAAGAGTGCATTGAAAAGATTACACTTTTATTCTATATATGTTCTGTACTATAGTCTCTACTGTTGCATTTCTCCTCACAGATGTGCAGTGTTGATGTTCCAACAAGAATTTGCTCTTCGGCTTGTTGCAAAGCCAGGGGATAAGCTATACTGCAGGCTGTCAATCAATACACAGTTATTGGCACGTGTAGATCACCTGATGAAGGTAGAACTCAGAATTTTCATAATAAAATATGCTATAGGCTTTTGAATAGATTGAGAGGCAAGGACCATGTATAGAGTCACAAAGACCAGGAAGAACTGGAGTTTGATTCCAGTTGAATTTCTGAATCCCTGAACTAGTGAGAAATAAAATCTGAGAATTCTCATTGATTATTCCTATTGAATCATGAAATGGAATGGATTGTAAATTCACTTTGAGACAGATTGGAGAGTTGGAGTAAAAGGCAATTATTCCGAATGGCAGAAGTGAATGTACAGTACTAAGTTTACATATAATACAAAAGTAGGTGGCAAAGCATGTGGTGAGGATGACACAGAATCCACAAAGGGACATTGACAGATTAAGCAAGTGGGCAAATGGATTACAATACAGCAAAATATGAGATTATGCATTTTAGCAGGGAGAATGAAAGAACTGAATATTATTTAAATGGAGCAAGTCAGGAGAAAGCTACAGCACAGAGGAATTTGGGAGTCCTCATGCATAAATCACAAAAAAAAATCCAAGAATTCAATGGGCCAAATCGCCTATATCTGCATTGTAGGGAGTTTATGAACTGAAAAATTCTAAATTTAGCAGGTTATGACCTGAGAAGGCAAATAGAATGCTGGCCTTTATTTCAAAGGGAGTAGAGTATAAAAATATGGAAATCTTGTTTAAAAATATACAAGGCACCTGTTAAACCTCAAAAAAACTCAAAGAACTGTGAATGCTGGAAATAATAAACAAAAACAGAAATTGCTGGAAAAACTCAGTTCTGAAGAAGAGTCACTGGACCCAAAACATTTAACTCTTCTTTCTCTCCATAGTTGCTGCCAGACCTGCTGAGTTTTTTAGCAATTTCTGTTTTTGTCAATAGTTAAACCACACCTGGAATACTGTGAGCAATTTTGATCCCCTTATCTAAGGAAGGATATACTAGCATTGGAGATGGTCCAGATAAGGTTCAGTAGGTTGATCTGGAGAGTGGAGGAACTGTCTTGATGAGAGGTTGAGTAAGTTGGGCTTGTACTTGGAGTTCAGAAGAATGCAATCTTGAAACATACAAGTTTCTTAGGGGACTTGACAGGGTGGATGCTGAAAGGCTGTTTCTCCCTTGTGGGAGAGTCAACGATAAGACTATATAATCTCAGAGTGACACGTCACCCATTTAAGACCAAGATGAGTAGTTTCTTCTGAGAGTGGTCAATCTGTGGAAATCTTTACCAAAGACAGCTGCAGAGCCTGGGACAAAATGTATCTTAAAGGCTGAGATAGATTTTTAATCAGTAGGAAAATCAAGGGTTTTGGAGAAAAGACAGGAAAGTGGAATTGAGGATTACAAGATGAGCCATGATCTTAGAGTGGTGGAATAGACTCAATGGGCTGAATGGCCTATGTCTGCTCCTATGTCTTGTGGAAGTTTTAAGACCACTGTTGTCCACAGTTCACATTAATAACTTTTTGCAGATGAACCAAACTGGTGAAGACAGTCAATATTTGAAAAGGACTACAACAAATTACAGGATGAACTTAAACTTGCAGATTGGGTAAATAAAAGGCAAATCGAGATAAATTCAGATAAAGGTGAGAGCACGTTTTGGTAGGAACAATAGGGAGGTCACTTGCTACTTGAACGATACAAGTCTAGATAGAGGGACCAATGGACCTGCAAGTGCAAATAGACCAAGCACTAAAAGTTATGCTGTAGTTTCATCCATTATTTCTGCAAGGGTAGAATTGAAAGTAGGAAAGTTGTATTAAACCTGTGTCAGATGGAATACACTACATGATTCTGGTTGTCATATTAAAAAAAACATTGGTGAGGATGCATGAAAGTGGATAGTAGAAGATGAGGGAAAAAGTGCAAGAGTTTCCAGGGTTATCGCTGAAAGGACCCCAATAGCCCACCATGCAGAAATAGCTGCAATCTTTCTTCCTAGACCTTACTCTTCCCACCTTGATTGTAACAGTACGCTGATTCTTTCTAGTCCTGCTATTCCATCGGAGACAACTTAATTTGTTTCATGCAGTTCCCCTTGTGGCTAATCATGTGCTGTCTCTATATTCAACTTTAGAATAAAAAGATTCCATCAGGTTTTTTAATAAACATAAAAATTGTTGATTTATTATATGGTAAAACCTCAATCCACAAAGCTGCAAAACTGGTTTGTGCACAAATTGATGTGAAAATATAAATGTTTTAGCTTCTAAATATCCCAAATTACACGTACATGCACTCACCAGTAAAAGGATTAAAACCGTTTTCTCTCTATGGATTCATAATGAGAAAAGAAAAGTACATGTTTTGTTGTGATTATTTCTTAACAATGAAAAAGAATAACGTATAAATGTTCAGATTTACGTCAAATCTAGCCTTTTGGTCACTTCATGTGCACTTCCCTCTGTGATCTTGGAAGACTCAGCTTGCTAAAGAAGCAATAGTATCAAGAAGTCTTCCAGGAGCTCTTCAAGAGGACAATAAGGTTTCATACTGAACTCACAACAAGATTGTATCAGAAAGGCAGAGAGAGAAACTGAGCAACCTAGTCCACATTTGACATCCAAAATGCTATCCAGACAAGGACAGCAATAAAATGCAGGCTGGTGATTTTTAAAAAAGCAAGTTCAGCAAGTAGGTGATGTCACCCGATTCTCCAGAAAGGGTCTTTTTATTGGCTCTTTTTAAATCAAACATTCAAGCTAATCTTGGAACTCAAATCAAATTTTCCAACATCCATCAAAATTCAAGTCTTCACAACATTAATACAAAATCTTCATAAACTGCTTGACAAAATATATAATTTTGTAAGATACCTGATGGTTTGTCTTCTCAACGGTAAAGTTTATATTGGTATTGCTAGGAGATCAGTTGTCTTAAGAATGGAAAAAAAATACCTGTTTGGAAAGCTACAAAAATGCCACTTGTAATCTGAATACACCTTTATCCTTGTCAAGGTTGGAAAAAACAACTTCAGACCACCTCCAAAAGTTGAATCAAGTGTGGTTAGGATAGAACCAAAGAATCCTCCACCTCCAGTGAACTTTCAGGTGAAGTTTGATTTATTAATATTTAATACTGGTTGATGAACCAGTTATAATGGTGCATAGAAAGCAATACAGATAGCAAAGACTGGGGACTAAACCCTCCTATGTTTTGTCAGGATGCGGGAAGGGGCACTACAACTTACACTGACCTTGTTGGACCCAAGTAGGCAAAATCAGTAGGGTTCCTAATCTAATCATTGTTAAATGTTGTAACTGCATAGCTGGTAAACATACAGCTAGAGGATCATAGAGTATTACAGCTTGGAAAGAGGCCCTTTGGCCCATCATAAACATGCTGTTCATCAAACACCTATTCAATCCCATTTCTTAGCTTTTGGTCCTCTGGGTGAAAAAATTTCTCCTCACATCCTGTCTTAAACCATCTGCCACCTACCTTAAATCCTCCAGCAATTACCTCTCTGCTAAGAGGAAGAATGTATTCATTATTTATTTATGCCCCTTCAGCCTTGCCTGATCCAAGACAAACAACCTAACCTGTGTAGTCTGTCTTCGTAGCTGAAATGCTTCAGTCCATGCAACACCCTGGTGAATCTCCTCTGCACCCTCTCTAAGTGAGAACACATCTTTCCTATGGTGTAGCAACCAGAACTGCATGCAGTACTACAGCTGTGGCTTAACCATGGTCCTATAAAGCTCTGTCATAGCCTCCCTGCCCTTGTATTCAATGCCTCAGCTAATAAAGGCACGTACCCCATATGCCTTAGCCACATTATTTATCTGTCCTGTTGCTTTCAAGAATCTATGTATATGCACATTAAGGTCCTGCTAATCTTTGGTATGTGCTAGGTTTTGCCAGAGTGAGAAAAGGGGCACCGCAACATACTATTATACAACTCCCTTATTCCTCAAGATGCATCACTTCACACTTTGCAGGTTAAATTATATTTTCCATTGTTCTGCCTGTCTATATTGTCCTATATTCTAAAACTTTCTTCCTCGCTATTTACCACACTACTCAATTTTTATGTTACCTGAGAACTTTATTAATAAATGTATTTGTGTCTAAATTAATTCATACTACAAACAGTAAGGGACCCAGAACTGAACCGGTACGCTAGTAGACACAGGCTTCCAATCCCAAAAACAACTTTCAACCAGCACCCTCACTCCTACTAAGCCAATCTTGGATTCATTTGCCAAATTTCCCTGGATCCCACATGCTCTTGCTGCCTTGATCAGTCTCCCATGTGATACCTTGCTAAAATCCTTACTGAGGTCCATGTGGTCTACATCACCTGCACTACCCTCATCCACACACCTAGTAACCTCAAAAAAAATTGATATAAATCTGAGATATGATCTCCTATTGAAGCCAGACTGTCTGTCCTTGATTAAGCCTTTGTTCTCCAAATTGAAAGAAATTTTTCATTTTTCAAAAAAATTCCCTACCATTAATGTTAGACTCACTGGCCTATATTTCCCTGACTTATACCTACCATCCTTCTTGAATAATGGTACCATGTTAGCTGTTTTCCAATCCTCTGACACCTCTCTAGTTCTTAGAGAACATTTGAAAATTAAGTTTGAAGCTCCTTTAATCTCCTCATTTGCTCTTCAGGGACCAAGGTGATGATGTGTGTGTATAATTAGAAGATATGGGTCAGGTTTTAAATGATTACTTTGTACCTGTATTCACTATAGAGAAGACCAACAGCCAAGGATGCATCTCTTCTGGGCCAGGCGATTTACCCAAGTTTAAGCCCAGTAAAACCACTAATACCGCTTCCCTCTCAATGCTACTTTATTCAAGTTAATCACAGTCACCCCATTTTCTATACCTACATTGTTCTTCTCAATAGTGAATACAGGTACAAAGTAATCATTTAAAACCTGATCCATATCTTCTGATTATACACACACATTATCACCTTGGTCCCTGAAGAGCCCTACTCTTTCCCTGGTTATCCTCTTGCTTCTAATATACTTAGACATCTTTTGATTATCCTATATTTTGCCCACCAGTTTTATTTTCATGTCCCCATTCACTTTCCTAATTTTTTTTCAAAGTAAACACTTGCACTTTATATACTTCTTTTGGGCTTGTAATGTTTTTAGCCAGCTATCTGCCATAAGCATCCCTTTTCTTCCTTATCCCACCCTACATATTTCTTAACATCCACTGTTGCCTGAACTTGTTTTTCCCCCCTCCCCCATTCACCTTTATGGGAACATGCTGGCCCAGTGCACTCAATATTTCCTTTTTAAATGACTCGCATTGCTATCATGGCGAGTTTCATACAAGTAGCTGCTCCCAAGCCACTTTAGCCAAATCCTGCCTTCTATCAAAACTGGCCCTCCCCCAAGTTCATTTTTTTTTCAATCCAACATTGTCCATATCTGTAACTAACTTAAGTATTACAGAGGTCTGGTCGCGATCACCTAAATGGTCCCCAACTGACACATGTCCAGCACTGCCCCTTCTTAGGACTTTCTATGTGTTGGCTTAAAAACCTTTGCTATACACATTTCAGTTCTGCCCTGTCTCAGCATTTTGTCTATCCCAGTTTAATATTAGGGAAGTTGAAATCTATCATTATTACCCTATTGTTTTTACGCTTCTGTGATTTGCCGACATATTCCTTTGATATCTCTGTGACTGGGAGTTTATGGTACTCCTTCTAATGTGATTACTCCCTTTTTGGCCTCTAAAATCGTCCGTCTTCATTACAGTAATTGATTTCTTGATTTGATATTGGAACATTGCCACCTCTTTTACAACCTGCTCACTTGTCTTGCCTGAAGATTCTATATCCTGGAATATTGAGCTTTCAGTCTTGTCCTTTCCTCAATCATGTCTCTGTGATAACAAAATTCAAACATCCCCTTATGTTAATCAGCACCCTCAACTCATCTGCCATGGTGTGTTGCCATGCTCAGCTGTGTTATAACTTGACTGTGTATGCCTAGCCTTCCACACTGATATAATTTTTCTTCTGTATCTGTCTCACTGTTTTCCAATATAGAAAAACATTTTAGTGGTTTTGAAACTGGTGATGTCCTGACTGTGTCACTTCTGATTGTTAATTAAAGTCATTTAAAATATTTTTAAAAATTATTAGATTTCCAATACTATTTACTCCGTCTGTAGACCACTAGAAAATAGAAAATTCTCACCCTCCTCCCATGTCCACAAATTCTCACCTTCTCTACGCGCTAGCTAGAATTCATGCTTTTCAAAAGGAAAACCACTGGGGTTGAAATACAGCAGCTATCCATTTACCTCTGATTGGACTCCACTATGATCCTCCTCGCCGTCAAATAGCATGTTAACATTGACTGTTAAAAGTTGAGGGGAAATAGTGCAGGAAAAATGCAGACTAAAGGACTTTGACTTTCAAATCAAAGTATGTCATTTATTTTGTACTCCATTGTTCAGGATTTATGGTTCTTGTAAGTCCTTAAGGTTTCCCTAGTGCTGGTTTCCTTTTGTTTTTGATTCATCTGCTTTTTCAGTTCTGATTCACAGTTGAATTACTTTGAGTCAAAGTATGTCAGTTGTGTTTTAGGAAGTATGTGTTACACTTGGAAGAAATGCACTTGATAGAGAACATTTAATAACTAATCTGTCTGCAGATATTTTGAGTTTGACACATTTACTAGAATTCTTTCAGGAGTTAACAAGCAGGATTGATGAAAGAGGAACCAGTAGATGTAATATATTTGGATTTCCAAAAGATGTTTGATAAGGTACTACACACAATGTTTCATAATAAAATAAGAGCATATGGTGTTGCAAGTGGGTGGTATATGGCGTGAATAGAGGATTGGCTAATTAATAGATGACAAAAGTTGGAACACAGCAGGCATTTTCAGGATGACAACTACACTTCGTGGAGTGCCTTGGGGATCACTGCTGGGACCTCAATTATTTACAATATATTAAAGACTTCAATGAGGAAATTGGAGTATTAATGCTATTTTTATAGATTACACAAAAATAGGTTGGAAGGCAAGTGGTACAGTTAAGTGAGTAGGCAAAAACTTTGCAGATGGAATATAATTTGGGGAAATAAGGTTATGCACTTCAGAACAAAGAATTGAGGAGTTGAATATTATTTTATTGGAAAAGACTGCAGAAAGCTGCAGCCCAGAGATACCTGGGAGTCCTTGTGCATGAATCACGAGTTAGCGTGCAAATTCACTGGGTAATAAGGAAGATGAATAATCTGTTGGCCTTTACTTCAAAAGGAACAGATGATAAAAACAGGGCAGTATTGCTAAAACTATACAAGGCACTAATCGAACCATTCCTGTAACATGGCAAACAGTTTTAGTCCCCCTATCTCAGGAGCATACTGGCATTGGAGACAATCTGGAGGAGATTCAGTAGGACCACAAGGCATAATCTGAGTAAGAAAGCACCTGTTTAAGACAAGGGAGAAAAAAATGACTTCTGTAAGGATTGTGAATCCATGGACTTGCTGTGTCATTAAGAATATTCATGGCTAATGAAGACAGGTTTTCAAATCGGTAAGGGAATCAAGGGTATGGGGAAAAGGCAAGAGAGTGGAGTTGAGGATTTAATACTAAAAGTATATACTCAGTATAGAACAATTGTGATTACATTAGCGCATCTTGCATGTAAATCTTTGAGTTCGGCGGTGTCCATGGAGAGTGAGAGAGAGGGAAAGTTTGTTTTGAGTTGAATATTCCCAAGAGTTTTGAATAACAGGTATTTAACTTGAAACATTTGCTTTTCTCCATGGATGCTACCAGATCTGAGTATTTGTAGCAATTAACATTTTGTGTTTCAGATTTCCAAAAGAATCAATTTTCATAGAATAAAAAAAAACAAAGGTCTGGCTCAAACATAATTTACATGATTTATAAAATAAGAGCAAATTAACATGTTCCAATCATAGGTGCAACAGCAGTTAATGTACTTATACAGTAAAAAAGGTTTATGCCAAACTTTTGACAGTGAATTTGTGATCATAATCAAAGTATTCTGAAAAAGTCTCAAGCAAGATTAGAGAAAATCAGATCTACTATCAACCTCGATAAAAGACATTATTGCTGGCAGGGTTAGTGACTTCAGCCAAATCTCTTATTGGGCCAAGGATAACAGCTTCAAAGTTTTTAAGTTGGTTATTCACCCCAATAAGTCTGCTCCTCCATTCAGAACAATTGAGAAAATGAGCTCATCGAAATGAGATCCACATTATTTCACTTTGGTTCTAACTGTAAATTTTCTCGCTTTTTTTCTATATTAGGAATGGGATGGTCTGGTCCGGATAGCATTTGTGAGAAAAAACAAGACTCTAGCTTCAGCTTTTAAGTAAGTACTAGCATGTCGACTAAACCTTTGTATCTTTTACTGCAACAGTACTTCTTTTAAATCCCCATCCCTTTTTCTTGTACTTGTAATATCCCTACACTATTCCACTCCCCTCTCATTCCCTCCTCTCCATTCATGCCCCTCCTCAGCCTCTTCCACCAATTCCTTCATCCAGTGAACTTTGTTGTTGGACTGCCCTTGACTTTCTGCTGATTTTTTTTTTTCTCCATCAAGTACCCCTACCCTTTTGGCACTGTTATCAATTGTTGGCACCTGCACGTGTGTCAAACACTGAAATCCTCTGCTTACAAATGTGCCAAGCTCCACCCATCAACCAATCAGAAATGGCTAGACAAGAACTATGTATAGTTGTAGACTAAAAATCAGATACCTTCCACTGCATTTGTTGCTGCTAACATCACCGTTGCCAGCCACCAGTGTACCACATGCTTCTGAGATAACAAGGTGTAGAGCTGGATGAACACAGCAGGTCAAGCAGCATCAGAGGAGCAGGAAGGCTGACGTTTCGGGCTTAGACCCTTCTTCAGAAAAAT